ACTCCTAGAGCGCCTCGTCTACACCCGCCTATGCTCTCACCTCAACGACAACAACCTCCTTGATCCCCTACAGTCTGGCTTCCGTCCCCTACACTCCACCGAAACCGCCTTACTCAAACTCTCCAACGACCTTCTAACCGCCAAAGCTAATGGCCACTATTCAGTGCTCCTACTCCTTGACCTCTCTGCGGCCTTCGACACAGTTGACCACCCCCTCCTCCTCAAAATACTACACTCCCTCGGCCTCAGAGATTCTGCTCTCTCCTGGCTCTCATCCTACCTGTCACAACGCTCTTTCAGCGTTACCTATAATGCTACCACCTCCCCCTCACTCCCCCTCTCTGTTGGGGTCCCTCAAGGCTCTGTCCTTGGGCCCCTTCTCTTCTCCATCTACACCTCCTCCCTTGGCCAACTCATACACTCTCACAGCTTCAACTACCACCTCTATGCTGACGACACACAAATCTATCTCTCAACCCCCCACCTCACCCCCTCGGTCCCTGCCCCAATCACACACCTACTGAGCGACATATCAGATTGGATGTCGCTCCACTTCCTTAAACTGAATCTCTCCAAAACTGAGTTTCTTGTCTTCCCCCCAGCCCTCCCCCCCTCCCCCCATTGACTTCTCCATCACATCCAACAACGCCAATATCAAACCTGCCCTGCAGGCCAGAGTACTTGGTGTCATTCTGGACTCCAACCTATCCTTCCAGCCCCAAGTCCAATCTTTAACAAACTCGTGCAGACTCCACCTCCGCAACATCGCCAAAATCCGCACGTTCCTAACCCCAGAAACCACTAAACGGCTCATCCACTCCCTCATCATATCATGACTCGACTACTGCAACTCCCTCCTCACTGGCCTGCCTTGCCGCTGGCTATCCCTGCTTCAGTCGATCCTGAATACGGCTGCCAGACTCATTCACCTTTCCAACCGCTCCATTTCCGCCACCCCCCTCTGCCAATCCCTCCACTGGCTTCCGATTGCGCAACGGATCAAATTTAAAATCCTAACACTGACATACAAAGCTTTCCACCATACTGCCCCGAACTACATCACCGACCTAATATCCAAGTACCGCCCAGCACGCACACTCCGCTCCTGACAAGACCTCCTTCTCTCTAGTTCCCTGGTCTCCTCCTCCCATGCCCGCCTCCAGGACTTCTCCAGGGTGTCATCCATCCTTCCCCAACCCATCAGATTATCACCTACTCTCCTCTCCTTTAGGCGCACCCTGAAAACCCATCTCTTCAGGGAAGCCTACCCCCTGCTAACTTGACCGACCTCCTCCACTCTTCCTACCACTCCATCCCCCACAGCTATCTCCTCCTGTACCACTATCCCGTCCCTTCTAGATTGTAAGCTCGAAAGAGCAGGGCCCTCGATCCCCTCATGTTTTGCATTGTATTGGTATTGTTCTGTCACATGTTCTGTCCCCCTTTGTAATGTACAGCGCTGAGTGAACTATTGGCGCTTTATAAATACTGTATAATAATAATAATAATTCTAAGGTGTAAGCCTTTTTATTTATTATTTTACCTTTTTTGTGAATGTATAACAAGAGTAAACCTTACTCATTTTTGCATGGAGGAGTGGTGGATATCTGAGGGTCCCTGTTATTTTTAAAGGGATGCCAATAAGTCCCCCCACACAGAGACTCCAGATCCACTGGGCCAGGGATGTGAGGATGAAGTCCTCCTTTAATAGTCACAAAAAATAATATATTCACTCTAACAAGTAGGTAAACATCCACACCTTAGAAAAAGTCCTTTAGAAAAATTATGTATCCCTGGCCAGCCAGGCTGCATGCCTGTTTAAGGATCTGGTATGGATTTTGAGGGGGACTCCATTCTTTTTATTTTTTAAAGCCTTATTTTTCTTTAAGCTGTATTAAAGGTCTCTCTGCTGAATGGTATTCTAAAATGTGTAACTTGACATTGAAAGGGGCCAATAAAATAGTATGATTCAGCTCCAATAGACTTGGAAAATGGCGCTTTTGCACTATGTTCGGGATTTGCAGATTTCCGGTCTTGCTTTGCAGATCCTCCTGTAAACTGAACCTAGGAAAGTTCACTTACCATTAGTTGCAAACATGAATAAAAACATGATAGAAGTTTTAACTCTTCTACATTTTGTCCACAACTAGAAACAGTTGTTGGCATTGTGTTTTTTGCCAAAACTTTATACTGGCCTTACATATAATATTTTAAACATGCTAATTATATTACCTTTAATAAATCTTTTTTCAAAACTAAACATTTTTTCTAAACTTTTATTTTGTACTTTTGCAAGCAAGATTTACAAAAATACTATATAAAACTAAAGTAAATTCTATATTCTAGACAATCATATTTTCTTTTATCTCCTTTTTTATGTCCAAAGATTGTGTTTGATTTTGCAGCTGTTTGACAATAAGAAGTGCTGTTAAACTTACTGTTAAAAGGGATTATCAAATCCTGTTTTAATTCTGTTTCCAAGCTGTATTTAATTTATTGTATGGTGTAAGCGTATTTATTGTATGGTGTAATTTATTGTATGGTGTATTTAATTTATTGATGGTGTAAGCGCATATCCTTACATTTTTAAAAATGAAATTCTATGTGCAATTTAAATAAACAAGTTTGTTTGTACCTACTAAGATGAGTCTGAAAATGTTCAGGACAACACCAGAAGACATGCTGTTGGCACACATTTCTGTTCACACATAAGCTTTTATACAATCCATTTTGGGGACCCTCCTTCAGGTGTTTTCTGTACATATTAATGTTTCTCAGTTTAATGAAGAACTTCAGGCAGATTATAAAACATGATTGAATTCTTGATTTACTTGATGACTCTTAAATTCCCCTATACAGCAACGCTGAGAATAAGGTAGCATGGGGAGGCACTTGGGGCTAATTAGGTGTTGTGTGTTCTGTGTGCAACCTGAATGTATGCTGTCATGGAGTCTGTCAGGAAAAGGTGATAAAGAGATTATGGGCGCTGAATAACAGTAATTGTCAATACATTTTAAGTGATTGTGATACTGATCAGCATCAAGAGCAGCTTTACACTATGTGAGCTCCCTTGCTTCCCTTCCATGCTATATATAAGTCCTTTTCCTATTGTGAGTAACTGGACATTGATTATGTGAAGCGATGGGAAGGTGATTTGGAAACCTGCTACTTACCCTTGATGTAATTTTTATGGCAATGAGGATACGATAGGAGTCCGATTTGGAGGATTACATTTAAACTTTTCTGACTTTCTTTCTAAAGAGTCCACATGCTCTGGTAAGAGTCTCCATTACTTAAGGTGGTGATGCATTTCAGTTTTTGGATTGTGTAGGTGCATGAAGCTTTCACTTTCACGAGATACAGCAACACTGGAGTTTCCTTTATTGATTTCTCATATATCACAGACTATTATTATTTTGGATACTTAATTTCAAATGGTTTTTGTCACATTTACACAGAAATAATTTAAAATTTTGTGTATTTAGCGCTGCAATTTTTCTTTATTTTTTTAATTTATAATACATACAGCCCCATATAATACATACAATATGTACGAAATTCTGAAGCCAGAATGCTCACTAGGTCGGGTATAAGTGACCATATTACTCCTATCCTGGAGTCCTTGCACTGGCTACCTCTCAGGTTTTGCATAGACTTTAACCGCCTTCCGCCCGCCATATAGTCCAATGACGGATGCAAGGTGGTTCTCTCGTTCTTGGAGGATGTCATATGACGTCCTCCCATTCTCACCGCGCATGTGCGGCTCAGGGAGCACGGCGATCGGCGGTGCGCTGTGTCCCTTGGACACAGCGGATCACCGATCAACGGAAAGAGCTGAAGATGTTGGCTCGGTCATGTGATCAGCTGTGTCCCAATCACAGCTGATTGCATGTAAACAGGTAAATGCCGATTATCTGCATTTCTCTCCTCACGAGCTGTCACGCTGACAGCTCGTGAGGAGAGCTGGTAATCGGCATTCCTCGGAGGGGGTGTGAGATGGGGAAACAGCTCTCATTGTTTGAACACTGTGTGGAAGTAAATTGATGTTTTGACTGACATTCTGCAGTTTAGCCACAAGATGTCACTGTTTTTCTAACACAGCCTAAGACTGCATAGATATTTGTATATTCATGAAGACATGGAGTTTTCACACAGAGTTGGAGTTGAGGAAACAGGAAGAGGAGACAGGAGACATTTTCTGGAGAATGCTGAATGAAGGGGCCGTGTGAGCTGCAGCTGGGTGAAGCTGATGAGATTGCTGCCAGGATGCTGATGAGATTTCAGCGGATGCAAAGCAGACCCGGGTTGGTAAGATCGTGCACGCACCTCATTTCAGTGTTGGTGCCTATAGACTGCAACCAGGCCTATAGTTAGTTAGGGTCTCTGTTTGTGTCAGGCCACAAGTGGTGTTACTGATTATTGGAAGGACTCCACAACTTAAAGTGACATTTCACATTGGAGAGCTGATAAAATCCTACAAACTCAAGCCAGACTGGCGTTTTGCTCAGAAGGAATACTCAGGCATGTGCTACAGGACCAGTTATGAGAGGGGGAATACTGTAGATTTGTGTAAGATTGTAAGCTGTTGTGCTGCACTGCAGGCTAGCCCATACCGTACACCCATACACTGATTCCTGCTGTTTTAGGGTAATAACAGGTAAGGTGTGGCAGCTTAGTTGTGCCCGCCAGTAGGTAAATTACTTCACTTTCTACCTTCATCCATCAGAAGGCGCCGTGCTGTGCAGCACAACGATCTCAGCCTTTGGGCTGGGTGTATGTAAATTTATTGTATGTTCCCAGCATTTGTGGTTGTGTTTATTTGCCAAATCTAAGTAAAATTCTGTTGTGGCAAAAGCTGGTGTTGAGGTTGCTTTCCTCATTCGTGACTTCACTGTATCCTGGGGAGCCCACCCCGGTACACGGCTTACAGGGGCATGTGCACACTGATTATCAGGGCACTGATGATCAGTGTGCCCTGATGATCAGTGTAGCCCCAGCAGTGCCACCTGCCATTGCCCATCAGTGCCAGCTCTCAGTGCTCATCCATGCCACCTGTCAGTGCCACATCAATGCCACATTTCAGTGCCTACCAGTGCACATCAATGCCACATAAAAGTGGCCATCTATGCTGCCTTTCAGTGTCACCCATCAGTGCCAGTCAGTGCCACCTATCAGTGCCACCTAACAGTGCCAGTCAGTGCCACCTATCAATGCCAGTCAGTGTCGCATATCAGTGCCAGTCAGTGACGCCTATCAGTGCCATCTATCAGTGTCGCCTATCAGTGCCATATATTAGTGCTGCCTTTCATTGCCCATCAGTGATGCCTGTCAATGCCCATCAGTGCCACCTACCAGTGCCTCCTCATCAGTGCCATCTATCAGTGTCCATCAGTGCAGCCTATCAGTGCCCATCCCTGCAGCCTCATTAGCGCACATCAGTGAAGGAGAAAAAATCACTTATTTACAAAATTGTATAACAAAAACTAAGAAAAAACTTTTTTTTTTCACAAATTTTCAGTTGTTTTTGGTTGGTTTAAGAAAAAATAAAAAACCCAGAGGTGATTAAATACCACCAAAATAAAGCTTTATCTGTCACAAAAAAATTATAAAAAAAATTTCATATGGGTACAGTGTTGCATGATTGCGCAATTGTCATTCAAAGTGTGACAGCACTGAAAGCTGGAAATTGGCCTGGGCAGGAAGGGTGTATATGTGCCCTGTAGGCTAGTGGTTAAAATCCACTTGTTCATCTACAGTTGCCAAAAAAAGTATGTGAACCCCTTGGGATTATGTGGAGTTTTGCATGAATTGGGCATAAATGTGCTCTGTACGTCATCTAAGTCACAACAATAGAAGAACACAGTCTGCTGAACATAATACTACACAAGCATTAGATGTTGCCATGGTTTAATTGCACATAACATGTAAACATTCACAGTGCAGGGAGGAAAAAGTATGTGAACCTTTGGACTTAATAACTGGTTGACCCTCCTTTGGCAGCAATAACCTCAACCAAACGTTTCCTGTAGTTGCAGATCAGACCTCTTCACAAAACTGTTTCAGTGTAGCAATATTCTTGGGATGTCTGGTGTGAATCGCTCTCTTAAGGTCATGCCACAGCATTTCAATCGGGTTGAGGTCAGGACTCTGACTGGGCCACTCCAGAAGGCGTATTCTGTGCTGTTGCAGCCATTGTTTTGTTGAATTACTTGTATGCTTTGGGTCATTGTCCTGTTGCATCACCCATCCTCTGCGGAGCTTCAGTTGGCGGACAGATGGTCGTATGTTTTCCTGCAAAATGTCTTGATAAACTCTGGAATTCATTTTCCTATCAATGACAACAATCCGTCCAGGCCCTGAGGCAGCAAAGCAGCCCCAAACCATGATGCTCCCTCCGCCATGTTTTACAGTGGAGATGAGGTTTTGATGTTGGTGTGCTGTGCCTTTTTTTTCTCCACACATAGTGTTGTGTGTTCTTCCCAAACAACTCAATCTTGGTTTCATCTGTCCACAGTATATTTTGCCAGTAGTGCTGTGGAACATCCAGGTGCTCTTTTGCAAACTTCAAACGTGCTGCAATATTCTTTTTGGACAGCAATGGCTTCCTCCGTGGTGTCCTCCCATATACTCCATTCTTATTTAATGTTTTCCTTATTGTAGATGTGTCAACAAAAATGTTAGCATGTGCCAGAGATTACTGTAGGTCTTTAGCTGACACTCTGGGATTCTTCTTTACCTCATGCAGCATTCTGCGCTGTGCTCTTGTAGTCATTTTTACAGGACAACCATGCCTAGGGAGAGTAGCAACGGTGCTAAACTTTCTCCATTTGTAGACAGTCTGTCTTACCGTGGACACATGAACATCAAGGCTTTTGGAGATACTTTTGTAACCCTTTCCAGCTTCATGCAAGTCAACAATTCTTGATCGTAGGTCTTTTGAGAGCTCTTTTCTGCGAGGCATGGTTCACATCAGACAGTGCTTCTTGAAACCAGTAAACCCAAAACAGGTGTGTGTTTTTTTTAAGGGCAGGACAGCTGTCAGCAACACATCCAATATCATCACACTGATTGGAGTCAAGGTTGGCTCACTCCTGGCTCCAATTAGCTCTGGGAGAAGTCATTAAGCTAGGGCCCCACATACTTTTTCCTCCCTGCACTGTGATTGTTTACATGTTATGTGCAATTAAACCATGGCAACATCTAATGTTTGTGTAGTATTATGTTCAGCAGACTGTGTTCTTCTATTGTTGTGACTTAGATGACGTTCAGAGTACATTTTATGCCCAATTCATGCAAAACTCCACGTATTCCCAAGGGGTTCACATTCTTATTCTTGCAACTGTATAAGGCTCTTCATGGCTTGGCACACCATTATCTGTCTGAACTTTTATCTACTTACTCTCCCCCCTCATAACCTCCGCTCCTCAAATTCTGGTCTTCGGTCTTCCCCCCTACTCACCTGCACTCGATGGGAGACAGAGCCTTCTCCTGCTATGTTCTAAAACACTGGAATTCACTTCCATGGAACATCAAAGAGTCATCTTCTCTAAACTCATTCAAATCAAATCTAAAAACTTTTTTCTTTAGACCAGCTTTCACTTAATTGTCCTTATTCCCCCTTTGTACTTATTGTGTATTTCTTATGTTTTCTTTGTAAAGCGCTTTGAGTTTATTATTATGATTAATATTATTTTTATTATTATTATATTTTAGCCGCCCTGATTGATCCTTTGCATTTCTTGCTGTATTCCTTGTAATAGTGGAAGTCAAAGGGGTCGCTTCTACTTTTTACTTTTAATTGATTGATTTTGTTCTTGTATGTTTGTTACCTAATAGAACACAATGACTAATGCATGTGTTTAATTAATCTTTAAAACACTCCCCTTGCCTTGTGTGCTCTTTGTTGCAAATATTTGATCCCATTGAGTGTCATACACTAAGGATCACAGCTTATTGAAATGAAGCCGCAAGCTGTCACAGCCGGGTGCCCACACTGAAGATGCCAGCGCCCAGGGAGAGAAGAGGGGCGGTAAAACGGGCTGCAGGGGACATACCACAGGACCGAGGGACAGGTGAGTGTGTGCTTTTTAAAAGTCAGCAGCTACAGTTTTTGTAGCTGCTGACTTTTATTTTGGACAGCGTGAGTGGAACTCCGCTTTAAGACAAATGTGATTACACCATGATCATTATTAATATCACTATTGTCTCTAACCTGCACATCTGCATGTGTAGTATGTATACTGTAGATCCAACAGAGCAATTTTCCTTGTTGAGACTTCTACCATCTGTTCCAAGACATTGTCCTATAATAAGTTGAAGAACTGACAAACCTCCGTGGGTGTACAGTTCCATTTTCCCAATTATCAGGATGATTAAAATCACCCATAAAAATAACATTGCCCTTTTCCCCAGCAATTTCAATATTTTCAGCCATATGATTTTTTTTTTTTGTGAATGAGTAGGGGTAAATGAGTGGCCTTATCTCAGCAACACGGGCATGTGGCTTGGTATGGCTCAGGAGGTGGGAGAGCATTACCCCCCCTGACAAACCAGGCTGCATGTTTGGATTAAGGATGTGGTTCTTGGGCGACCTTGGGCTTTTTTTATGCTTGCGATACCCCCTTAAAATCCATACCAGGCTCAAATGGTTTCTTTGTGGTCATAGAGTCTTTTCTCTATTATTTCAGGGTGATTAGATTAGCAGTTACTTGTTGTTGCCTGTCTGTTTATGTATTACCTCTAATTTACAACATTCTATTGCATTGTTTTAAAATGTAATAAATAGTGATTCCCCAAGTGTTTCAGTGAATCTTGTTTGAAATTCAGGAAACCTGAACTTAGAGGCAAATCCTATTGAAGTGTATCAGAAGCAAATATTTTGTTGCTAAAACCTGCCCATTTTTAGGGGTAATATGCAATCTACTGCAACAATAGGGCAATGGACCTGGCCTGCATGTTGCCATGGAGGCACAGTCATGGTAAAAAAGTACTGAATGTCAGGGAGAAGCTCTTTTCATGCAGCTTTTGGGGAAACATTGAAAATACACAAATCCTTTAAATAACTGGCTTGGAGGATGCCTTAAATCTTCATGTGATATTATACAACACTGTAATTTTCACAGACAGGCTCAGTGACATGGATGGTTAAAAAATGGCTAGCAATACCACAGTGTTGGCGGCATCACATACCTTGGTTGGAGGCTGAAGTAGCAAGAGGGCTTCCCTTGTGGCTCTGGTCTAAGCACACTGAGTATGGAGACAAGTGTGCAAGACACAAAGAAGCATTGGTGCCAGTGGACCAGGTGGCTTGTGGTTGCCTATGGAGTTGGAAAGTGGAAGTGGCGTCAGGGCTGTAGCCAGAATTCTTAGAGACACTGCAGGAGGACCTGTGGTTGACAGTCTTTATGCCTGGGGTAGTGCAGGATGGACTCTCAAATGCAGCAGTGTGGAGACTATATGCCCAGGGGGAAGATGAACCATTAGTCCAGAGTTTCAGCAAGTGTCAAATACAGGTAAGCCATCAGAATGAGAAACGTGGTCAGAAGACAAGCTGGGGTCATACACAGACCAGCAGGAAGGATTAGAGGAGTGGCCAGGAGATAAGTCAAGGTCAAACACAGGTAAGCAGCAGGAATGTAGTCAGTAGCCATGCCAAGGTAATACATGGAAGATCAGATGAAAGCTAGGTCAACAACAAACCACAGTTGAGATCAGGAGTTCAGCAGAGAATGGTCAGGAGCAAGTTGAGTCAGCAATGGGTAATCAGGTAACAAGGAATCAGGAACACAGGAGCACAGGTCACAGGGTAGCTGGAGATCATCCAGCAATTTTCAGTGACCAATCCTTCCTTTGATTAGGGCTGCTGGTGCCAGTGTGCACAGATGATTGCGCAATGCACATCCACACATAGATTTGCCAATGTGCGTGTCCACGCAGCTTACTGGCAGGAATTCCTTGTCTGCATTTTGGTGCATGCACACTTCTTTTAGCATCCTGACACAGCACCATAAATTCTTATACTGTATGAGGCTGCAACTAGTGGAGGTACAACAGCTTGTTGTTCCTGTTTTATTTGCTGCTGCATGCCCTTCTCCTTGCATTGTCTACTGGTGGGCAGCTGGTAGCTGTGGAAGACATCAAGTACAACTTTTTATGGATTCCACCCTAATGCCGTGCTACGTTGTCCAGGCTAGAAAGCTACATAGTGTTTTTTTGGGGGGTTTTCAGAAGGAAGACTAACGGGATGGTGAAGCTTAACCCCACCTGCTCATGTCTCATCATTTCTGTAGGCTTCTCAAAGTGGGACAAATTTGAGGAAGCATCTTAGATCGGCAGCCACTGCCGAGGG